TCACCAAGGATTCATCTTTTAGCGTGTTAACAAGCACGTATTTTGTCAGGAGAAATAATTGACCTACACAAAAAGCTAAGGACTTCTTCTTATTATTTTAGGCCAAGGATTGGGGATATATCCCTTTCACCCCCCCAAAAAATAATGAAAAAGCGAAGGACATATACCATCTATATATAGACCTACAAACCTTGTACATACTTTCATACAAAGTACAAGGTATCAAGTTCTTAAGACTAGAGAAGCAGCTTAAAGATGGCATTTCCATGCATGACGACGTTCCAAGTGCGTTGCTCTGTTCAAAAGCCCTCCATTTCAACTCCTTTTCAGCACTTCAACACTACTTTCTCTTCTGCTGTCAAGGCTAGTTCTCTCTTGTTACCAACATTTTTCATTTTTGTGCTTATATTTGTTGAAATATTCGTGTCTAACATGAATATGTTATCACATATATATTTATGTTTATAGCCATTTTTGAAAGAGTTGCAGCAGCTTTCATTGCAAACAGATGTTCTGAAGACGATTAAGAACATGTCTACCAAGCTTTTAGATGCATTTGTGGACTCTACGTTTGAGTTCGTCGATCAACCATTGTCCCCGTCTGACGTACGTCCATATCCTAGCTAGTTAGCTACATTAATCATTATATAATGCCCTAAATTAATCCCACTTTACTCATGCATTAGTGTGAATAAGTGCATTAATGTGTGTGATAATAATTATTAATCACTTTCAAGTATTCTTGTAGAGTAACTTTGCTCCAGTGGATGAATTGGAAGAAGCTGTTGTTGTCACCAACATTGAAGGGGAAATTCCAAATGATTTTCCAGAGGGAGTCTACATAAGAAATGGTTTATTATCGTTCCTATCGTTTTATTAATCATCAAAAGTGTTTTATTATTACTATTTTTTAACTGTATTGGTTAGAGTAACCCATCCTTTCCTGATGAAGACGGGATCCGATTCTAGGTTCTTGATACAACCATTGAAATACAAGGTTTTTTTTTTTTTTTTTTTGGTATTAATCCCTAGTATCCAAAAACCACATTGAATCTTAATTAATTCAGAGTCAATTCGGGTCGGACTCCATACGGGGAAGCTCTACCAATGCCTATTTTCCCAATCATAAGACTCGAACTTGAGATCTTATTTATAAGAAATTAAATTCCTTTTATTCAGACCAAATTGAAATAGAAGTTTAATTTGTTTGATATCTATCTCCATTTAGTTGGTTATATATGGTAATTACAACTACATAAAATTGCAGGACCCAACCCTCTTCATGGAGGATTGCCGGTAACCAAATCTATATTTGGGAGGTCCAGTTATAACGCGATAGAATCAGAAGGAATGCTTCACGCTGTGTATTTCAGTAAAGGCAATGATGGGAATTGGACTCTTGTCTACAACAACAGATATGTTGAGGCTGATACATTCGAAATAGAAAACAACGGAACAAGAGGGCTTTTCTTCCTGCCATTGAAGGGGACTCCCTTGCCGTTTTGACCGGTTATTTTCTAAATATGGTAGGTTAACTAATGATGAACAATATTATGGTTAATTATTTGGTTTCAAACTACAAAATATCAGTCATTAGATAAAGGAATCGCCCCACAATCAAAGACCCCCAATCATTTAATGATCATTGATATTTTGCATTACGGTACAATTTATTATTGTAAAACACTTTGGAGCATAATTTAACAAAATTATCAATAGCCTGATATGTTTATTGATGGTTTTATTAGTTGAGATTCGGGACAGAGAACAAACATGTAAGCAACACCAACGTTTTCGGGCATTCGGGAAAGTTCTATGCAAGTGCGGAGAATTTTCTTCCACAAGAGATCGACATCTTTACACTTGAAACTGTAGACAGTTGGGATGTGAATGGAGCTTGGACCAGACCATTTACCACACATCCAAAGGTTCTTCTTGAAATTTATTCATTTTCTTTAAATTATATGATAGTTACATTAGTACATGATACCATCGGACTGTAACAGAGAGCTCCTGGCACCGGAGAGCTAGTTATCATGGGAATCGATGGAACTAAACCTTATGTTGAAGTGGGGATAATCTCTGGTATAATCTTCAGAATTTTTCAAAGCATTAACTAAAACAATAGTTGGAGACAAAGTAAGTCTTGGATTTAATTGGCTTTTTTTCTTTAAAAAAAAAAAAATCAGCTGATGGGCAGAAATTACTCCATAGAGTTGATCTCAAATTGGATAGGGCCACCGTATCACATGAAATTGGAGTTACACCCAGGTAAATTAAATTTAAAAATTAATTTCCCTCTCTCAGAAAGTTTATATATTTTCTGCATAATGCAAAAAATCAAGGGTATTTATTTGTTTTGTAGGTACAACATTTTCATGGATTATCCATTGGTAATAAACATAAATAGACTCTTACGCGGTGACCCGTAAGTGTATACTTGCCCCCCCAAAAAAGAAAACACATTTTCATGGATTACCCATTAGAGTTTTTTTGTTTTGTTGTTGGTATTATATGTTTTTTTAATCAACTAACCCAAACATTTTAAGGTTCAGAAATAAATCATTTGATCGATTCTTGTTGTTTGTATTATATTGCAAAATAAAAGCAATTAAATAAGATATGTCAATCCCAAATATTAAGGGATTCACCTCTATTTAATAATTTATTTTGTGTAATTTGATGTGATTTGATTTACGCAAATACTTTTTTTTTTCACCTGTTATATAGGTTACTAGCTAAAAATTTGTGTACTCATTTCAAATTTGATTTTATTACATAGATTGTTAAAATTCGAGAAGGATGGATATTCAAGGATTGGTGTAATGCCTCGTTTTGGTGATTCAGATTCAATTAAATGGTTTGATGTGAAACCAAATTGCACACTTCATCTTATCAATTCTTTTGAAGATGGGGATGAGGTTGTGGTGTGGGGATGTAGAGCTCTTGAATCCGTTATACCAGGACCAGCTGCGGGGGAAGATAAATTTGAGTGGTATTCAAGCAGATTTAGGTCCAAGGGATCACCCATTGAAGGAAGTGCTGAAGATGAATTGATATTTTCTCGGCCTTATGAGTGGAGACTAAACATGCAATTGCAAACTGGAGATGTCAAGGAGAGATTTCTGGCTCGAACTGAATTTGTCTTAGATTTTCCAACGATAAATCAAGATTTTTTTGGTGTTCAAAATAAATTTGCTTATACCCAAGTCGTGGATTCGATTGCAAGTTCAACTGCAGGTATATATGTAAATTGCAATAGATAAGCACGGTAACTTTGTGGACAAAATGGAATAATTTTGACCCTGAAAAGAAACATTACAAGGAATCTATGAGTGGAGATCTTGCAAAATTAATTTTACTTATGCGGCTACTTCAATTTGATTATTTCAGGCACAATGAAGTATGGAGGCCTTGCCAAGCTGTACTTAATTGAAGAGCCAAACACCCAATTTTCTCCGGTAAACATAGTTTTATCTTACAATTTATAGTGTGGATTACATCAGACTATCAAATCAAGATTGTTAGATGGGTAGGGCCTGCCCTAATCTGATGTTCATCTTGTATTCTTCTTCGATTGATTGTTTCTCTTAACAACATTTGATTTTGAAATCAGAAAGAGGGCCAGGGAGAAGGCCAGATAAAGGTGGAATATCACATGTTTGAAGAGAACACATTTTGCACTGGAGCTGCATTTGTCCCTAAACAAGGAGGTGGTGAGGAAGATGATGGCTGGATCATCACTTTTCTTCACAATGAAATTACTGATGTATCTCAAGTAAGTTGAATTGAGAAGCTGATAATTTTGTATATTTCTTTGAATTAAAATCTTGCTTATATTTTCTTTGTGTAATGTAGGTTCTCATGGTTGATACAAAGAACTTCTCTAAGGAGCCAGTTGCAAGGATTAAGCTGCCATATAGGGTTCCATATGGATTCCATGGGGCATTCATGCCAATCCAACTGCAGATTTCAGCATAACCATGGGGATGCTTCCCACTTCTATCTCTTTGCAGATGAAATTGTACTAAATTATGGTCCCTCTACCAGAACTACTATGAATTATCATTGTGTGAATTAATGGTAAGGTGTAGAAACATAGCCATGCTCTGTTTCTAATTATGATGTAAGTAGTTGTTTTTTTGGTTTAAACCACAAGTTGTGATATTTTAGAAATTAAAAAATAATAATTATTTGGGCCATTTCATTTCCTTAATTGTATTTTGTAAAAATTAGACACATTATGACTTCCAAAATAATGAGTATCTAATTAAAGTCAATTGAGAAATAGTTCAATAACGAAGAACTTAAAGAGATTTTAAATTTAAATTTTGAAATAAGTGAAAAGGGATTAGAAAAAAGAGAATTATTTTTTATTGTATAAGAATAGTGATAGATACACACTCTAATTTAATATACGACATAACATATTTATTAAAAAATTATTTTTTCTTTGAAATTAAAAGTTACATGTTTAAAAATACAATCATGCACACAAAATACAAGAACTGATTGAATTGACTATATTTATATTATAGTTTTAATGATTATATTAAAAGTATGTCAAAAAATATGTTGAACGAAGTGTATACATATCAGTTTTCATTGTATAACTCATTATTGATATAAAAAATATATATATCTAACGGGAAACTAAGTAATAATAAATGTAGTAGATAGAGTAACTAATCTTA